TGTGTAACAAAGTGTATAAAGGCGTGTATAAGAAGTTTATAAAGACGTGTGTAAGACGTGTAAGACGTGTGTAAGACATGTATAAATACGTGTGTAAGACGTGTGTAAGACATGTGTAAGACGTGTATAAAGACGTGTGTAAGACGTGTGTAAGACGTGTGTAAGACGTGTATAAGATGTGTATAACAAAGTGTATAAATAAGTATTTGACGTGTATAAGAAGTGTATAAAGATGTGTACAAGACGTGAATAAAGACGTGTATAAAGACGTGTATAAAGATGTGTATAAAGACATATATATAAAGACATGTCTATAAAGACATGTATATAGGCGTGTATAATATGTTTATAGAGAAGTGTATAAAGATGTAAGCCTGTAACAATAACACATTTTGCAGGACGATTAATTGACCAAGAATTTATTGCGATAAACAATAATATTGACATTTTGAGACCAAGTTCATCTAATATAATGACCATGAAATAAAAATGCAAATACATCAAGAGTCTTTACACTTGTTAAACGAGAGGAGTCAGAGCGATAGAAGCTTCTAACATTCAGTCTCTTTGAGAGCGAGAGAGAGCGAGGAAAACAAACAAGCTGCAAATAGAATTTATCGAGCAAGTTATCGAGCTCGTTAAAAGTTATCGTACGATTCATCGATTTATTGATTATCTTTACAGGCCTATAAAGATGTGTATAAAAAAGTGTATAACGAAGTGCATAAAGGTGAATATAAAGATGTGTATAAGACGTGCATAAAGGTGTGTATTAAGACATGTATAAAGGTGTGTGTAAGATGTCTATAAAGATGTGTATAAAGACTTTTATAAAGCCGTGTATAAAAAAACGTGTATAAAGACGTGGGGGTCCGCTGCCTATTCCGACCCCTTCATTACGACATGTCTCTACTTAGATGTGCCAATTTTCCGACACTTTTTAGTATCACTATTCCAACACGTCATATCTGGAGTTCTCTGCAGATACATGACAAAATGAATAAAACACAAAGGTCCATGCAGCTTCCGGTTTAGGTGAGATATATTCCCAAAGTCTGGCCTATGCTCTTTTTTTTATAATGCATTACTGTTTCCCACGGCGATCAGCGGGGACATTTTCCCACTGTCTGATATCCTCTATGGACAAAGTCTTCTCTGATCAAGCATCTTATGATATACGGGAGCGCAAAGTATAATAGGCTATCACATTCATATTATTCATAGCAGAAAAGCAGAAGGTTTAAAAAAGTAAAGTGCCGCTACTCCAACAATGAAAAAAAAAAAGAAAAAAAAAAAAAAGCTGAAGTAGTGAGACATTTGAAAAATAATGTTTATGCTGCTTCTCTGACATCAATGTCTAAATAGCGATATGTTGGAAAAGCAACATGTTAACCAAAGACATGTATAAAAAAATGTATGAAGAAGTGAATAAAGGCATTTATAAAGAAATTTATGTATGTATGTATGTATGTAAGAAGTGTATAAAGTGTATATAGAAGTGAGTGTGACGTCACCACAATGTTTGGCCCCAGTCAAATGAAGCTCATCGAGGCTTGCAGTTATAGGTGCAAATTTGAACTTGAGTTCCATACTGTATAAGGAATTCTGACTGCGAGTATCAAAGCAACCAAAGAGCCAATCAGGGGTAAGGCTGTAAAAAGGACTCGCCTCTTCCCGCCCACATCGCTGGTTTGCCAGTGAGTTGCTGCTTAGCAACGCTGTCAATCAAAACCTGTTGCTAACGCTCGCTGAAGTGACCTCTAGAAGGCGCTTCATTTGTCTGTTATTGATGTTTACAGTATATCTTGATTTAAGGACAAAACAGGAAAATAAAAACACCAGGATCATGCAGAATGGGTTAATATAGACATTCTAAGACCAAATTGACGAGGCTCACGCGCCCATGTTCACTTTTTATTTGGAATGCGGCGGCAGCAGGTTAGCTATGTCCATTTATATTTACAGTCGTCACGTTTACATGAGAGCTTTAATTCTGAATACAAATAATTAGATTCAGAATAAAATTCATTCCACTTTAAAAAGACCATGTAAACACTTAATTACCTGGTCCCCGAAGGGTTGACCAGGTTTTGTATTCACCCTGTGTGTGTGTGTGTCTGTCCACCCGCGATAATTCTGACATTTATAGGCTGATTGTCACCAAATTTGCTACGTGGGTCAAGCCCCTGTGCCCGATGCCGCAACAGAAAGTTTAGTCACGATCCGAGTTTCAGCTTGGCGTCACTGTTATTAAAAGCCCGTGTTGCATGCTGGGAAATATTTTGGTTGGAGGCAAGAAACAGGATAGCAGTCAAACACAGTGTGTAACCTCGCGTATTTATCCCCGATAATGGTAAATTCCTGCTGCATTATCAGATGCACAAATAGAAACACGGAAGAAGGAAAATGTCTTTTTCATATTCTGAGTGAAAAGAACCACTAACAGAGAATTAAATGGCTTTCAAACATCCACAGAGCAAACGTAGAAGATCCTAACAAACCGTGGACTCCAACAAGTTCAACAACACATCGAGACTCTTGGAGGTTTTCATCTTTTCTGCTGTGAACGGCCCAGGAGTTTCCACCAAGTCATTGTGGATATCACCAAAGTGAATATTTGTCCAGGTAGTTGGTGATTCTGACCAGAAATTTGGTTTGGTCCAGGCTCTGTCGGGGTTGAAAAGGGTGTGATTTGTCGTCCATCGATGCTTTATGACCAATTTCTGGTCAAATGCTCTTGGGTCCTCTGCCGTTAGAGTGGATAAATAACCAATCCCCTTTTACGTGCTTTCTCACTCCGTCCGTCATGTTGAATTAGTGTTTCTTGCCGCTGACCAAAATAATTCCCAGCATGCAACGTGCACTTTTGTCAACAATGAAACTCGCCTATAAAGGATAGTTGATTTCGGCAAGGGTCGCCCTTCTGATGCGATCCGAACGATTCTGCTCCACCAGTTCTGGCTTCGGACTTTCATCCACGTCTCTTTGGATTTGTGAGCGGGATGTGGGAGTGGGCTGAGGTAGAGCAGCCTCACACTCAGTTTGTCTTCTTCCTCCTTCTCCGACACTCTTCCCTTCTCCTCCTCAGCTGACAGACGTAAAGTGTGATGAGAGAATTTTCCAGCTGCTGCGCAATTATCATCGAAAACCACTGCGAAAAAAGTTTGGATCATGTTTGTGTCTGTGACGTAACGACAAACCGAGATGACAGAAAAGTCGGTAGCAGCTGAAGTGTGTGTTTTCTTCTGGTCTGCGTAAATACGTTCAAGTCTCTGTCCAATCAGAACCTTCCCCACCCCCAGACACTGAAAGCAGTTAAATCAAGACTATTTAACGTGTTTTCCAGGTAAACCTTCAATTTGGAATGATTACAACTATTTAATGAAAAACAATTAATTTGGAATTAACAAACATCATGTAAAGGTGGTCAGTGTATACAGAGATCTTAGCAAACTCCATGGAGACGAGACCACCAAACCAAGTGTTTTTAGCAGTAATTGAATAACTGAAAGATAATGTGTTACTGGGGCAAAGCAACAACTTTTTTTTTAAAGGGTAAGTCTCCTCCCTGTGTTACTGTGGCAGAGTGGTTAGCCTCGCCTCCTCTCGGTGTGGAGGCGGTGGGTTGTGGGACCACAGACTGTGTAAAGAAGTGAAAGTTCAGCTCCAGTCAAATGAAGCTCATTAAGGCCGCGGTTATAGCGACGAAGACTTTAGAATGAATCAGAACGTCGTTTCTTAATAACGAACCACCTGTCAATCAAAGGGAGACCTGGTTTAGTGCTGGATTAGTCTTGGTTTAGACACGGTTTAGACTTGGTTTACTCCTGGTTTAGTGCTCATTTATTCCTGGTTTAGACCCAATTTAGACCTTGTTTATTGCTGGTTTAGTCCTGGTTTAGACCAAGTTTAGTCCTGGTTGAGTGCTGGTTTAGTCTTGGTTTAGTCCTGGTCTAGTCCTGGTTTAGACCTGGTTTAGTCCTGGCTTAGTCCTGTTTTAGACCCAGTTTAGACCTGGTTTAGTCCTGGTGTAGACCTGGTTTAGTCCTGGTTTTAACCTTGTTTAGTCCTGGTTTAGACCTGGTTTAGTCCTGGTTTAGTCTTGGTTTAGTGCTGGTTTAGTCCTGGTTTAGTCCTGGTTTAGCCCTTGTTTAGTCCTGGTTTAGTCCTGGTTTAGTGCTGGTTTAGTCCTGGTTTAGTCCTGGTTTAGCGCTTGTTTAGTCCTGGTTTAGTCCTGGTTTAGACCCAGTTTAGCCCTTGTTTAGTCCTGTTTTAGTCTTGTTTTAGTCCTGGTTTAGACTTGGTTTAGACCCAGTTTAGCCCTTGTTTATTCCAGGTTTAGACCTGGTTTAGTCCTGGTTTAGACCTTGTTTATTCCAGGTTTAGACCTGGTTTAGTCCTGGTTTAGACCTTGTTTATTCCAGGTTTAGACCTGGTTTAGTCCTGGTTTAGACCTTGTTTAGTCCTGGTTTAGACCTTGTTTATTCCAGGTTTAGACCTGGTTTAGTCCTGGTTTAGACCTGGTTTAGACCTAGTTTAGTCCTGGTTTTGACCTGGTTTAGTGCTCGTTTAATCCTGGTTTAGACCCAGTTTAGATGGGTTTTTTTTTGTTTGTTTGTTTTTTTTACCAAAAATATCAGCCTTTAGTTAAATCCCAAACTTCTGCACCATTTTCACTAACTCATTATTCTGTTTCTCATCCAATGGTCTAAAGTATGTACGCCAGCGCCGCCATGTTTGTTTTGGTTCATGTAGAGGCCTTCCCTTTGGCTCCGCCCAAACCTCAAAGCTGCTCCGCGATTGGTCTGAACCCCTGTTGTTCTGGGCCCAATCGCAACCGCGGGAGCCAGGTGGATTCTCTTGAGTTTGTGATTTGGTCTTGTGGTCCGTTTCGGTGGCGGACCAAGATTTACAAAAGCACTAAAGCATGTAATAACCCCATTCACCACGAAAATAGCCACTTATCTTTTTAATGTCTGCTTCTCTTCTTGTCACCGCAGGGCATTATGGGAAGGAGAACCTGCTTCCTGGAGGACAAGACATGCACAACTTCATCTCGTCTGGATTTGTGACGCTGGGACGGGGGCACTTAAAGGGTAAGTCTCCTCCCTGTGTTGCTGTGGCAGAGTGGTTAGCCTCTCCTCCTCTCGGTGTGGAGGCGGTGGGTTGCTGGACCATACACTGTGTAAACAAGTGAGAGTTCAGTCAAATGAAGCTCATCGAGGTTGGCGGTTATAGGGACGAAGAGTTCCATGTTAGAGTTTAGAATGAATCAGAACGTCGTCATCGCCAACTACTGCGATTATTCTTAGTGACGAACCACCTGTCAATCAAAGGGAGATCTGGTTTAGTGCTGGATTAGTCTTGGTTTAGACACGGTTTAGACTTGGTTTAGTCCTGGTTTAAACCTGGTTTAGTCCTGGTTTAGTTCTGGTTTAGTCCTAGTGTAGTCCTGGTTTAATCCTGCTTTAGTCATGGTTTAGTCCTGGTTCAGTCCTGGTTTAGTCCTGGTTTAGACCCAGTATACTGCTGGTTTAGACCTGGTTTAGTCCTAGTTTAGTCCTGGTTTAGTGTCCTGGTCCTAGTCCTGTTTAGTCCTGGTTTAGTCCTGGTTTAGACCTAGTTTAGTCCTGGTTTAGTCCTGGTTTAGTCCTAGGTTTAGTCCTGGTTTAGTCCTGGTTTAGTCCTGGTTTATCCTGGTTTAGTCCTGGTTTAGTTTAGTCCTGGTTTAGTCCTGGTTTAGACCTGGTTTAGTCCTGGTTTAGTCCTAGTTTAGTCCTGGTTTAGTCCTTGTTTGGTCCTGGTTTTGTCCTGGTTTAGTCCTGGTTTAGACCCAGTATACTGCTGGTTTAGACCTGGTTTAGTCCTGGTTTAGACTTGAAGAAGAAGTGAGCGTTCGGCTCCAGTCAAATGAAGCTCATTGAGGAACGATGAGTTCTATATTAAGAATTCTGACCACGAGTATCACAACAACCAAACAGCCAATCAGGAGCGAGCATAGGACTATAATAAAATTTGAAGTCTTATTGTTTTCAGTGGTCTGTGCTCAATGTTGCCTGGGCCCAAAAATCATTTTCCCTTCTGGATTTACTTCCTCAATACGGCTCCTCCCACTTGTGTGACGTCTGTAACATGCACGATGTGGAGCGTAGTACCTGGAGCGGCCACTAGTCTGTCTTGAGCTGGGACACAGGGGGAGGGGCTTATCCAGTTTTTATTCTAGATCCATGGGAGCGAGTGTGTTGAAGGTAACGGCCCTTCAAACACTGTCAGCAACACTGTCAATCAAACCTGTTTGTTAACTCGGGAGTGACCTCAGGGAAAGACGACGCCTGATTAGTCTGTTGTTAATGTTTTTATCTTGATTTATGAACAATACAAAGTGAATTAGAGTCAGAGCTGATGGAGCCAGAAGCGCGCCCATGCTCACTTCCTATTTGGTTTCATGGATTTATAATAAGATCTGGATAAGACTCTCTCCCTCTGTCTGCGAGTGAGATCAGCTCCAGGTACTGCAGCTCCGGGAGCTCTGGACCACAAAGATTTCTCTCACAGAACACAATGTATTTTTTTGTGAAATCAAACAGCCCATGTTCAGATTTTGTAGTGATTCTTGTGTACTCTTACAGTATGAACTTTTTTACATTTTTAAATATCAAAGCACTTAAAAGTCAGCTTTGGAAGAGTAAACTAACCCCACTCTGAGCCACAGATCTATTATAAATACAGGATAAGCCCCTCCCCCTCTGTCCCAGCCCCAGACAGACTAGTGGTCGCTCCAGGTACTGCAGCTCCCATCAGCTCTGGTCCAGAAAGAACAGGCTGGATTCACACTTACGTCACAAACCAGGAAGACGTTTGGAAAGATGCGATTACAACTTCCCAGGTCCAGTTTTCTTCATCTCCATGTCATTGTAGTGCTCCGTTATGTTCGGCTAATCAACATTTCCAACCATACCTCAGTTTTCATCATTTCCTCACTGACACACAACTCTGAGTGCACTGGTACATGATTAGAAGAGATGTGGGACAAATTCCAGATGATTCCAAAGATCACATCTGTCTACAGTCTTCATTTTACCACTGATCACATTTACTTCAGTGGGTTTGATTGTCAGTCGGTGAGTCCAGCGTCATGAACTACACCCAAAGTCGTCATCTATTCTCCCAGAGAACGCTGTGTATTTTGGGAAATCAAACTGCCCGTATTCAGACAGGGCATCCGGCTTTCACAAAGGTTGGATTTGGTAGGATTTTTTTTTTTTTTTTTTTTTCGCAACATAAACTTTTTACATTTTTTAAATCCTCAAAGCGCCTAAAAGTGATCTTTGCCTCTTACTTACTCTGACTGAGCCTAAGTAAAAATCTTTTTTTGTGGGATGTGTCAATGAGCACAGGCCACTGAAAACAACATGACACCATCTTGGATTCACCTTCCAGATTTTCTTATACTTCCATGTTTGTTTTGCGGTGTCTAGAACAGGGGTGGGCAAACTACGGCCCGGGGGCCATATGCGGCCCTTTAAACCATTTAATCCGGCCCGCCGAACTTGAATAAATTATACCAATAAACCTTGTTAATTTTATTTTTCCTGCATTTCTGGCGTTTCCCAGTAGATGGCGCACTACATATACATTGAGGTGCATCTTATTATGTTAGCCACAATGCTTTATGGGAAAGTGTTCTTTCAGACTAGCTAATGACAGGAGTCATTCTTGGTCGGTGTATTCGGACCATGAGGCAGAAGTGTTCAGCACATAACACTGCACTGTTTGCATTCTGAATATGGTGAAAGTAAAGTTGGAAGAGTCGTGGACTGCTTCTTTCGAAGTTTTCATGCATAGAGCGTCATAACACACAACGGAACAGAAAGTGTTATACAGGAAAGTTTTAGTTGGGTCTAGGCTCGTACAGGGGAGTGTTACAATTGCGCGTTTTGGTCAGTGGAAATTCAAGTGTACAGAGGTAGGCTAAAGAAGATACGGTAACGGCCTCAACTAGATGACATCCAGAAAGTATTTAGGAAGTATTTGTCTTTTGGATACATTCATACTCAACTTTACATTCATGTAAACAGGACAGTACGTATACATGCACCATGACTGAAAAAACCCGATCGTAAGCGAGATACTGATGTGCACGTAAACACACTCATTATAAACAATGCACCAGATCAAATAGAACATGTTGCTCGCAGACTGGCGCTGGCACTGTTCCGTCTTTACGTTGGTCGTTGTTGAGTTTTGGAGACGCACATTGAACTGAAGTAGATCTGCATCTTCTACTGTTTTTGAAATAAAGAGTCAGGAGCAGAGTGAAGATGATAAGAACCTGAAGGAGAACAGAACTTTCAGTGCTTTAAAATAGAAACTGTTAGTAATAATAAAAAAAAAAAAGTATTTTATTTAATTTTCAGTGTTTTAGAAAGATATTTTGTTGTAATTCTTTGTAGTGACTTTCAATTGAAATTCAAGCGCAGGTTTTCTACATATCCCGTGTTATTTTTTCCTCTCCACTCCATCCATCTGCTCCTGGTCCGGTGCTTCCCTCAAATTTTAGAACCTTTTGTGGCCCCCGAGCCAAAACGTTTGCCCACCCCTGCTCTAGCATGTTAGTTATATCCATGTGTATACGCGGCCCGTGGTTGGACTCCTGATCTCTGAGTGGAGTGTGCATAAATGAGGACGTTCTGTTGACTCATTTAACTGTTCCAAAAAAACCCTTCAGTCTCTCGGAAACTGGGACACGACTGATTTCACCGCCACATCAGAGACCTCCATCCCTGCACTCTGCAAAACTCAAATATGTGACTTTAAACATGACTGGAATCAGAAGAAGAGACTCGGTTTGACTCGGTTCATTAAAGAGGATCGGCTCGACAAGTGCGGCTTTGACTTCTGTCGTGGATTAACTGTGACACATCACATATTTACATCAACACGTTAACTTTTATTGTTTTGAAAATGCAATATTCACCAAAAACAATATATTTTATTGAGTCTCTCCTGCCTTTCTACACTAAGTCACTCCCCCTTCAGAGCGCAAACACAATCATATTTAGAAAATTCATATTGTCTTCTGTTTAAGAAGACAACATGAAGACAAAATGTAAAAAGCTAAGAGTTATTAGAAGACAGTGTGGGGAGTAACAGATTACATGTACTGGAGTTATGTAAGCAGAGTACAAATTATGAGTAACTGTATTCAGTTACAGTTACTGTTTGAATGAGAGGTAATTGGATTACAGTTACTTTGTTGAAATAAATGGAATAAACGGCGGGATTTTCCTGTTTTCACATTTGGGGCTATATCCCCCCCCCCTTTTTTTTTTCTAATTATCTGCTCATTGCCAGACACTAAACCAGGTCTAAACCAGGTCTAAACCAGGTCTAAACCAGGTCTAAAACCAGGTATAAACCAGGTTCTAAACCAGGTCTAAACCAGGTCTAAACCAGGTCTAAACCAGGTCTAAACTAGGTCTAAACTCTAAACCAGGTCTAAACCAGGTCTAAACCAGGTCTAAACCAGGTCTAAACCAGGTCTAAAAACTAATAAAACCAGGTCTAAACTAGGTCTAAACCAGGACTAAAACAGGTCTAAACTAGGTCTAAACCAGGTCTAAACCAGGTCTAAACCAGGTCTAAACTAGGTCTAAACCAGGTCTAAACCAGGTCTAAACCAGGTCTAAACTAAACCTAGGTCTAAACCAGGTCTAAACCAGGTCTAAACCAGGTCTAAACCAGGTCTAAACCAGGTCTAAACCAGGTCTAAACCAGGTCTATAAACCAGGTCTAAACAGGTCTAAACCAGGTTCTAAAACCAGGTCTAAACCAGGTCTAAAACCAGGTCTAAAACCAGGTCTAAACTAGGTCTAAACCAGGTCTAAACTAGGTCTAAACCAGGTCTAAACCAGGTCTAAACTAGGTCTAAAACTAAACCAGGTCTAGGGTCTAAAACCAGGTCTAAACCAGGTCTAAACCAGGTCTAAAAGGTCTAAACTAGGTCTAAACCAGGTCTAAAACCAGGTCTAAACCAGGTCTAAACCAGGTCTAAACCAGGTCTAAACCAGGTCTAAACCAGGTCTAAAACCAGGTC